GGGAGAAGCAGGCTCCCTGCTGAGCAGAGAGCCTGACCAGGGGCTTGATCCCAGGACCCTTAGATCATGACCTGAGCTAAAGGCAGACGCTTAACTGACTGAGCCACTCTGGCGCCCCTGCTACACACCTTTTAATATTTCTTAAAGCATGTGAATATAATGCCTATTACAAAATTAAATGAAAATATCATAAATAAATGTTGCTGCCTTAGCTAGGGAAAAAAATAAATGAGCTATAATAATTTGAAATGAATATCATTCTTTTCTGACAATATTATTATCTGTATAAAAAAAATGCAAGGGGTGCCTGGGTGGCTCAGTAGGTTAAGCATCTGCCTTTGGCTCAGGTCGTGATCCCAGGGTCCTGAGATTGAGTCCCACATCTGGATCCTTGCTCAGCGGGGAGCCTGCCACTCCCCCTGCTTGTGCTCTCTCTGACAAATAAATAAAATCTTAAAAAAAAAAAAAAAATCCAAGAATATCTATAGACAGGTTACTAGACTTCTGGTGTCTCTTCCCCTTATAAGGAAACCAGTTTTATTGGATTAGGGACCCGTTCTTGTGACCTCATTTAACCTTAATCACCTCCCTAAAGGCCTTACCTCCAAATACGGTGATGTTGGGGGTTCGGGCTTCAACATATGCATTTTTTGAGGGGACAAAATTAAGTCCATAACACTTAGACTCACTAGTTCATTAGTGTTTCAATTATGCATTGTATAAAACCATCCCAAAACTTGTTTTATTGTCTCAATGCAATAATAATAATCCAACATTTCTCATGATCCTACATGTAGCCAGCTGGTTCCTTTGCTTCATGTGGTGTTTATAACACAATTTTTTTCACTAGCACAAAACATGGTTTACCATCCTTCTGGACTTCAAGAGTAGTTTCCCCACTGCTTTTTCAAGCTTCTGCTAACAGTCTCCTCGTTGCCCTGGTAGACTCTCTCCACTGTCCCAAAGCCCAAGTCCCAAAGCCATGCCACATGCATTACGTCATTCCTAGAGCAGCATCCCACTTCCAGGTACCAATTTCTCATTCAGCTAGTGTTTGTTGTGGAATAAAATACCCCCAAACTTAATGGCCCAAATCACCAACAATTCATCCTTTCATGCAATTCTGTGGGTTGGCTAAGCAATTCTCTGCTGCTTTCGCTTAGGCTCCTTCACGCAGCTGCATTCAGCTGGCAGGTGGCTGGGCCCTGAACTTAACTGGGACAGCTGGGTTTCTCTTCCCATATGTTCTTTTATCCTGGCCTTCATTATGGTATGGTGGTCTGAAGGCAGCATTCCAAGAGAGTGAAATCAGAAACCATATCACTTCATGTACCCCAAGCTCTGGAGCTTGCAAATTTTTCCCTTTTGCCACATTCTACTGGGTAAAGCAAACAGCAAAGCTGGCCCAGATACAAGAAGTGGGGAAATAGGCTCCACCTAGAAGGAGGTGCAAAGAATCTGTGGCCATATTTACCACAGAAAGTTATGCCATGTTCCCAGACGGAAAGACTCAATATCATAAAGATGTCAGTTCCTTCAAATAAATCTGCATGATGTCATATCAACCGAAAATCCCAGCAGGGTATTTCAGGAAACTTGGTTAAGTGGTTCCTAAAATTCATATGGAAGAGCAAAGGGCTCAGTGATTTTGAGGAAGGACTGGTCTTCACAGATATCAAGACTTTTTGTAGAACTATTTGAACAGCAGGCTATTAGTATAGCAATATAAAAATCGGCCAGTGGAAATGGTTAACCACGTGAAAAGATGTTCATTTTCCTTGACTGTGGAAGACAGATAGCGATTGCTCACAAATTTTCCTTCTTTCTTGCTAACAGATTATCCTGTCCCTCCTCCCCCCACATCCAATAACCATGGGAGTCCTTCTGAAGAGCCACAAAGTGTGAATCTTGATGAGTTCATGATTGGTTTAGAAATGAGCATGTGATGTGAATCCAGCCAATGAGACATGAGAGCGCACCTGCTAGGTGTTCTGAATGTTTTATAACTCTTTAAAAGGCACAGGAGGAAAAGACAGGGCCTCCTCACTTCTTCCAGGGTTTGGAAACTGTTGTGCAAGAGTTGGATCCTCGGAGCTACTACTCTTTTTGCAATCATGAGAGAACATCTGAATCAAAAGGCAACATCCTGAGAATTAGAGAGAGAAAATGAAGAAAGAGAGCGGATTCTTGAGGTCTTTGAGCTATTCACTTAACTTCCCTTGGTACCTCCTGAGTGGTGTGCAGAGCAACGAGCAAGTCATGTGAAGCCCATACTATATGCGGCATAAATGAGATGTAACACACCGCAAATGGCTTGATGGAGCAATTCACCTTATGATTTAATAGTGAAAACATTGATGTTAATAGACATAGTGTGGTGATCATTTTGCAACACTGTGCGGTATATTAGATTGCCAAAATGCTTTTGCCTTATGACTGGAAGATTGTACTTTTAGATCAACATCTATTGCCCCCAACCCTGGCCCCTGGTAACCATCATTTTTGAGACTTCGCATAAAAACCCCTTATCCTTGTATATTCTTCAGATACATACTTCTATTCATAGGAGTTTGGCTTTTCTAGATTCTGCATATAAGTGATACACAGTATTTGTCTTTCTCTGTCTTACCTCTTTTGCTTAGCATAGTGCCAGTAAGATATATTTTTAAGGTACATACTTCTACTAGAAAATACCCTAATTACAGACGTCACTTTTGGTGAGTTAAAAACTTTGTGATTTCTCTCTCAATTTTTGAAAAGTACAGAAGAATTTGCACTTGTGGAAAGTTTATTTTTTATTATGTTTTAATTTTAAGTTTGTTTTTTTAGTAATCTCTACACCCAATGTCGGGCTTGAACCCACAACCCTGAGATCAAGAGTCACATGCTCTTCTGACCAAGCCAGCCAGGCGCCCCTGTAAACTTGTGGAAAGTTTTACACTGAGGAGATGCTAAAGAAGCGCATGTGGAGGGGAGAGGGGTGAGGGAGATGGGGTAACTGGGTGATGGACATTAAGGAGGGAACGTGATGTAATGAGCACTGATATTACATAAAACTGATGAATCACTGAACTCTACATCTGAAACTAATAATACATTGTATGTTAATTAAAAAAAAGAGACCAATGTCCCGAAACTGCAGCCCCACCCCTTCCTCTATCACCCAGAGGGAGAGGAGAGCACAGACTCAGTTTCCAAAAATACTTCTTAGCCTTCTGTATCTTTTGGTATCTTCTTTTAAACAGAGATTGGTAGCCATGGGACCAACAGCTTTTTCAGTCTGTCTAGTTAGCAGAAAAATAAAACATTGTTTTCCAGATGCCATGTTGATTAGAAAAGAAACCATCTATCAAAACCCAATCATTCTAGCTCTGTTGCTTGTATAGTGATATAAGATGTTATTCATAAAACTGAAAAAAGTTAATAAAGGAATATAATTCTTTTTAAAAAATTCAATCAATGCAACTCATTGGAAAAAAAACATAGTTATCTCAGTAGAGGCAGAGAAAGTATGATCAAGAAAAATAATATCTCTCAACAAACTACAGTTGACCTTTGAACAATGCAGAGGTGGACCCACCCTCCGGTGCTTCAAAAATCCCCATATAACTTTTGAAACCCCATAAACTTGACTACTAATAGCCTACTCTTGACCAGAAGCTTTACCAATAACATGCAGTTGATTAACACATATTTTGTATGTTATATGTATTATATAGTATATTCTTACAATAAAGTAAGCTAGAGAAAAGAAAATGTTTAGAAAATAACAAGAAAAATACATTTATAGTACTGTACTATAGTTATAAAAAAAAATCTATGTATAAGTGGATTCATGCAGTTCAAACCCATGTTGTTAAAGGGTCGACTGTAGGAAGAGAACTACCTTAAATTCATCAAGATTTTTTTAAAAATCAGCAACTACATTTTACTTTAGTGAATTTTGAACATTAGCGTTTTGAGTTGGAATTAAAACAGGAATGATCACTGTCACCACTTCTGTTCTACATTGTACTGGAGGTACCAGTCAGTGCTACAAGGCAAGAAGAAAAAAGAAACAAAAGGCAGGCACCTGGGTGGTCCAGTCAGTGAATCATCTGCCTTTGGCTCAGGTCATGATCCCAGGGTCCTGGGATCGAGCCCCAGAGTGGGCTCCCTGCTCAGCGGGGAGCCTGCTTCTCCCTCCCGCTCTGATCATGCGCACTCTGTCAAATAAATTTTTTAAAAAATTTAAAAAACAAAAGGTAAAAGAAAAAGTAAAAATACTTTTTTTGGAAAAGAAAAAGTAAAGTTGTCATTATTTGCAGATAATATGATTATGCATGTAAAAAATCCAAATGAATGTACAAACTATTAGGATTAATAAGCACAGTTACTGGAAACAACTTCAATATCTCTTTGTCTCCTTTCAGGGTATATTTTTTTCAATAAATGTTTTACCATGGGGTGCCTGGGTGGCTCAGTTGGTTAAGCGACTGCCTTTGGCTCAGGTCATGATCCTGGAGTCCCGGGATCAAGTCCCGCATCGGGCTCCCTGCTCAGCAGGGAGTCTGCTTCTCCCTCTGACCCTCTTCCCTCTTGTGCTCTCTCTCATTCTCTCTCTGTCAAATAAATAAAATCTTAAAAAAAAGATAAAAAAATAAATGTTTTACCAAACAAAATTAAAAAAAAAAAAAAGAAGTGCATGTGGAACTGGAGGTAGTTTGAAAGTAAACATAACAGAAATCCAACCTGTTATGGTGAGAATGGCAACTCTCTTGAACTCAAGAAAGAATGAAATGCCAATGACAACAAAACTTCTTTCTCTAACCCTAAGCAGAAAGGTCTCTAATACCAGCAGTTTCTGGCATTCACACACAAACCCAGAAAAGCTACCTATTATTATATAAAACAAAAGCCAATTATAGTGTGGTAAAGTACAAATCGCTTATAACCAGAAGTCAATAGAAGAAAAACTACTGGTTTACATGAGAGAAAGGAGAACACCTCATTCTGAGCCGTCACTTGGTGAACGCGGCCACCACTGCCCACAGGACCTCACTGGTGTTGGCCTTCAGACATTCCACTTCAGGATCTAAGTCAAGGAGCTGCCGCACTCTCTTGGTGGCTAAATCATACTGCTCGTCCAGAAGGGGAGCGAAAGCATTCTCCAGGACATCGGAGGCGTGTGCTAGGTAGATAAGGGCCAGCAAGCGCTTGTCCATGCGGTGAGGGTCATTCACCCATTTGTCAAGAACAGCTTCCTGTACCTTCTTGATGAGGCGCTGCTTAATATTGTTGTTGGTGAGGGGATGTGTCGTCATGTCAAAAAGTAGGAAGTTCTGTTTCTCTGTTGTCAACACGCCCTTCTCCATCAGATATTTAATCATTCTTGCATTTTTTTTTTTGCTTTTTAAAGATTTTATTTATTTGAGAGAGCACAAGGGGTCGGGGAATAGCAGTCAGAAAGAGAGAGAGAAGCAGGCTCCCCACTGAGCAAGGAGCCTGATGTGGGGCTCCAACCCAGGACCCTGAGACATGACCTGAGCCAAAGGCAGACGCTTAACCAACTGAGCCAACCAGGCACTCCTTGAATGTTTCTTAACCGATGATACAATTCTAAGAGATTCCACATCTCACCTAAACAAAAGTTTTTAAGAATCAGAGAATTTCAGCTTTATTTTTTCATACTCTAAATATGAATAGCAAAATGTGTTCATGGTAGCTGGTGTGTTTCTTGGAAGTAGAATACGAAAAGTATTTTATGCCAGAGTCTGTATTCCCAGAATGTGAACATCTTGTGGGACAGGAATCATATTTCATTAATCTCTGTAGCCCCAGCACCAGGTGTATTTCCTGCAACATAGTACTTTGTCAATAAACATTTATAAAGGAGAATGAACAAACTATTCCAATACACAAGTTAGAATAGATGATTTTTTTCCTTAGGCTCCCCCTTGGCTGTGAAAGTTCTTCAGACTCTCCTTGTTTGGAGGACTTTGACAATTTCGAGAAGCACTGGTCAGGTACTTTGGAATTGTCCGTCTATTGGGATTTGTCTGACGTTTTTCTCATGATCAGACTAGGATCATGGGTTTTGGGAAGGGAGACCACAAAGGTAAAGTGCCATTCTCCTCACATCATATGAGGGGTAGACACTATGAACATGACTTATCACTGTTAACATTGACTTTGGTCACCTGGCTGAGGAAGTGTTTGGCAGGTTTCTCCATCACAAAGCAAATCTCCCCCTGTCCCTCTGCATTCTGGACTCTTGCACTGCGAGGAACGCACATTTAAGGAGTGGTGAGTTATACTGCACTTCCTTGAGGGCAAGGTATTTATATACATTATTTGAAATTGAAAGTTTTATTTGTCATTACCAAATTAAGTGGAGATTCTCATTAAATATGGCTGGTTGAATAAGTATTTGCGACGAAAATGCTCCGAGAATGAGAGCAGAAGGATTTTTATAGAGGCACAAACCTAGGAGACTAGGAACAGAAACAATAGCTGTAACATTTTGGACACTGCAAAGTAAGTGGAAAAGTGGTGCATGGATTAGTGGAGCCAAGAAAGCTAATCTCAATGTGCCAGTGGGTAAAGCAGAGAGGTAACCTACTTTACACGCAAAACCCCCAGGCTCAGAAATGGGCACCAGTTAGCTGTGGAAATAGGCAAGAAAGAGAGATAATGGTAGGGCTAAAAATAGATTGTTTCAAAATCTTTTTAGAAACTAGCATCTCCAGATCTTCTCATCTGCTCTGAGCAGCCAGCCTCATAGAAGAGAATAAAACAGAAGGTCTCTGGACTCAGGTACACAAAGCACAGAGAATAAAACAGAAGGTCTCTGGACTCAGGTACACAAAGCACAGATCTTGTACTGAAAACAGGGGCATCAAAAAAGTATATGTCCTAAAATTTGTGACATCTTAGCCTTCTCCTTCTTCTCAACTCCTGGAGCACCGGAAGCTAGGATTATATCCTCCAGCCAAGGCATGAGGAGAGTCATCTCTGGAAAATTCCACCAGCCCAAGAGAAAATAATGAAAAACATGGACAAGAGAATTTCCTCAAAGAATTACATTGAAACCCCCACTGCGCCACCTCCCATCATGGACAGTTTCCAAATAACTTTTTCGGCCTCTCTAAATATGAGCAAACTGCAAGGGAGTGCGTTCATTTGGCAAACCCCTCTAAATGGTGAACCATGGAGTTCAACATAAAATATTAAAATAACAAAAGGATGTGATGACCCTAAAGTGGAAACAACCCAAATGTACAGTCAATGGGTGAATGACAAAATGGGGTACATTCACACAGTGGAATACATTTCAGCAATAAAAAAAGGAATGGATTGCTGATGTGCATTGCAGCAAGGATGACCTTCAAACACAGCACGTGCAGTGACAGAAAGCAGACACAGAAGATCTGATCTCGTACGATTCTATTTATACGAAATGTTTAGAAAAAGCAAATGTCTAGAGACAGCAGATTATTGGCTGATTGGGACTAGTTGGGAATGGAGATGAATTGCAAATGGGTCCATGAGATCTTTTGGGGGTGGTGGAAATATTCTAAAACTGGATTGTAGTGATGGTGGAATGAGTCAATGAATCAGTGAATTAGACCCTTAAAATGAGTGAATTTAATGACATAAGAATGATATCCCAATTAAAAAAAAAGAATGATATCCCAATAAACCTGTTTAAAAAAAGAAACTCAGAGAAACAAACGATGGAGGAAGAAGAAAAAAAAAAGTCATTACTGTCCTCAGAGAAATAAGAGATGGTGTATATCCATCCAAAGGAAGAAGATGATAGTTTTTAAAAGAATATTTGGAGGAGAACAACAACAACACTAGAAAAATAAAAACTGGATGGCAGAAATGAAAAACTGAGTAGAAAAGTGGAAGACATGGTTAGGGAATCCAAAGTGTAGAGCAAAATGGTGAGTAACTGGACAATAAGAAAGAAAACATAAGAAATTGGATGGTTGATTCAGGAGGCCTAACAGCTAAATGATAGGAGCTCCAGAAAGAGATAGAGGAAAAGAACGGTGGAGAAAAGTATATAAATAAAGTAACATAGAAGAATTTTCCAGAGCTGAAGAACATGAGCTTCTTCTCAGAAAGGCCCTTTGGGTATCCAGCACATTGACTAAAAGACAAAAAACAAAAGCAAACAAAAACCCTGACCAACAATAAAAAAAAAAACAACAAAAGATTCATTATCGTGAAATTTCAAACACTGGGAATAAACAGAGGACTCTAAAAGCCTCGGGCAGGAATGGAGGGGGTGGGGTAGAGGCAGGGGGGTGGTGACGCAGATAACGAACAGAAGACTGAATAAGAATGGCAACAAACTTCTCAAACGGGAGGTAGAAGGTAACAGGGTTAGACCCTCAAATTTATTTTTAAGTTAATTTTTTAACCAAGAATTCTATATTTAGCCAAACTCTCCATCAAGCGAAAGAGTAGAAAAGAGACAATTTAGACATGCAGAGCCTCAAAGAAATGTACTTCCCAAACATCTTTCTTGGGAAGCTATTTGAGGATGTGCTCAAGTGTGGATGAATGCAAGACACACACACCCACTCACACAAAAGGGCTCAACTTAGAAAAAGGACACAGGGATATGGGGGTACATGCGGTTGAGGAGCCAGGATCCAACGAAGACGAAGAGAATGCCTAGGGTGATGGCAAATGGAAGGCCCAACCGAACAGGAGCCAAGCTCCCACAGAGGAACCATCCAGACTGGAACAGTAGGGTGAGGCACTAGGAGGACTCTCGGAGACTGAAGCGGGTGCGTGCGGGAGGTGGAGGGCAAGGATATCATTCTTCAGGCACCTGACATGGTTTGTATAAAATTGAACTGACAGGCACTTTATAGAGCTGTTGAGGATGCGTGACTCTTTAGTCAGTTGTTCAAAGAAAATTAAGAAAATGTTTTAAAATGAGGAAATTATTAACTCCAGAAAAAAATAAGTTATGTAAGTGAGGATATGTAATCACTGTTTAAACCACATGCAACATACACATGGTCAAAATTACGAGAACACTGAATATAGATTTAACAGATATTTGAGATATCATTTTATTGAGAAGATGATGGAAAGGAAAGGGAGATATAATTGAGCTAAAATCCTTATTATCTGTAATTGTATAAGTCAACAGGTAAGTCTATTCAGATGAATCGATGGATAGCAGTATGTACATATTATTTAGAAATGAAGAAAAATCAGAGAAAAGAGCTAAAAAAACTGAAATTGTGTCCTTGATGGATGATGGGATTGGAACATGAAGAGAAGGTATTGTTGTTTTGTAAAAATCACTCTTAGTAATATTTAATCTTTTATACTATTCAAACATAACATGCTGATAAAAATAAAAGTGGATTTAATGATAATTATAGTCATTTTATTGAAAGCAAAAAAATGTGTATTTGAAATTCTATAATACCAAAAAATAGGAAACTTCAAATTATAGTAATACTCAATTTAATACGCATAATCATATGAATTAATACCAAAAAGATGTGATTTGGAAAATCCATTTTGCACTTCATGATTTGCTTTGTAGAATTGGATTTTTGAAATTGTGATAATTAATTCATGAAGGGTTGAGGATTTGATTCCTGCTTTCTGAGGTTTATTAATATTTAAAAGTCTGTATTTGAACCATAAAGAACTTTATCAAATTAAAGAGTGGCAAATCATTCCCCTTTGAAGAAAAGCATTATAATTTGCATTCAAATTCCTTATCTTTTAAAAAAAGAGTAAAGACAGCATTGATTTTAGGCCTTATTATATTTACTACCGCAAGAGTTGGCAAATGGAAATTATACTCAAATGATGAATGTAAACCTGATTACTTCTTTCTTCTGGATTAAACATATGTGCACACACCCATATTTAAATACTAAGAAATCAACAACAGTTATTGTACCCATCTGCAGTCTGAGTCCAACGACGGAACAGCCTTCCTCACTTCTATCCTCCTTCCTTCATACCCTCCCTTCCTTCTCTTCTCCTTCCCAAAGCATTTACTTTGTTACCAGTATGGGCTGGGTGTTGAGAACACAAAATATAATAAAATAGAATCTTTTCTACAGGGAAATTACAATCTGATGCCACATTACACAACTAGCTATAAAACAATACAAAAAGGGAAAGAACAAAGTATTACAAGAATAGAGAGGAATCAGAATTTGCAGGGTGTCTGGACACAGACTATACTGGAAAAAACTCTCCAAAGAGGACACTTCCTTGCTTTGATTTGGGAGGTCAGACAAGCCCAGGAGAGAGCCTAATGCCCTCGGTGGAGGGAGGGGCAGGCACAAAGCATCCAAGGCCAAGGAAAGATACAGTGAAATGTACAAGTACCCAGGACCTCTGCCTCGCAAGGTGATTAACTTCGGGTCCCTGGCTGCCCTGACCACTCATTCCCCTAAAGTCACCTGCACACACTGGGAGAAGAATAAGAAGCCTGAGGCTGTCGAGTTTGAACTGGACACGCCAGCTGGGGCGGAGGGCAGGGAGGGCTCTATAGAACAGGGAATGGCCGTTTCATTTCTAGCACAGAGAAGAACGCATTGTAAGCACATTTGAATAAAGGAGTGCTCTATGAAGAGTACTAAATTTGAAATTCTCGGACAAAAGGATTTTCTTCAAGTTCCAGACTATTCAGGTTAATGTGAGAAAAGACTTGATTGACAATTTATGTATGCAATTTGGACATGAGATGTTCTTTCATTTAATGATTATTTATTGGGTGCCTGCTATGGGCTGTTGTCAGTGTTCAAGACACTGGGAACAAAAAAAGTTCTTGTGTTTGTGACATATTCTAGGAGCTTCTTTTTTATTTATAGTTCATCTTTCTAGATTAAAAAAAAATCGTAGCCAAAAATCAACTTATAAATTCACCAAAGCCAATTTACGGGATTTACTAACGGCATCGAAGATACTTCGATGCAAATGTGAGGAGATGATTTTTAAAAATTTGTTACAAGAAAATTTTACCATGGCCCTTAGTAATACAGAATTACAAAACAGAGGGCTTCTTTGGTAAATCTGGTGATCCAGTGCCACCTTGTGTCCCAACTGCTCAGTTATGTGACTTAACAGTAAAGAGTCTGTAGTCCCTTCCTACTGCAGCTGTGACAAATTACCACAACTCTAGTGGCTTAAAAACAACACACATTTATTATTTTCTAATCCTGGAGGTCATGAGTTTGTAACCTATCTCCATGGGCTAAACCCAAGATGTCAGCAGGGCTGTGTCCCCTCAAAGCCCTAGAGAAGACTCTGTTTTCTTACCTTTTCCACATTCTGGAGGCTGCCTGAATTCCTTAGCTGGTGGCCACCTCCGACTCCAGAGCCAGCAATGGCCATTTTCTCATGATAAATCTCTCTGACATTGCCTCTCCTCTTTCACTTATAAGCACCCTGGTGATTACATAGGCCCCACCTGGATAATCCAGGATAATCTTCCCATCTCAAAATCAGCTGATTAGCAAACTTCATACTATCTGCAATTTTACTGCTCCCTTGCTATGTAACATAATATAGTCATAGGGTTTGGGGATTAGGATGAAAACATCTTTGGGAGGGGGGGGCATTATTCTACAGACCACAGAATCTAGTTTTTTGGGGGATGAAAATATGCTACTTTTTATGTTTCAATCAAATGGTCAAGACGTTAAACTGTCTCTCCGCCCTTATTCGTAACTTGGAATCGATAAACAGAAAACAACATCTCTTTTGCCAATGTCTGCAAAATAGACCACGCGCTAGAAATCCTCCCAGTGAGTTTTTATTTATGCTTTACTGATCTTAGCTAGGAAAAAACCAAACTAAACATAAAAATGTTGTTAAATTCATCTTAAAAGTATTTCGACTTGACAAAGGCAGGATAAGCCCAAATATTGCTTGATAATATAAAATCTACAAGTAAAGGGTCTTTTTTGTTTACAGGGCAAATGGTTTTGTTCACAAACTGGTCAGAATTAAGCTCACAAAAAGTCAAAACTGGAAAACTCTCAAGGGATTAAAGGCAGAGAAAAAAGAGGAAGGGAACAGGTGGATTTTGCTTTACATGGATCTACCATACAGTAGGTTACAGTAGCAGAAGAGCACCCCACTTCTGTATGGGTCCTTTTCCAGCAAGGGCGAGAGAGACTGCTCTGCGCCCACCAGATTGTAATGGGCTGCTGCTGGAGTTGCTTTCAGAGGATGATGTAGGCAGAGTACTCTAATCCAACCTCCAAGGAATAGCAACAAGGTAAAATGCTTGGGTTTTCTTTTCTTTCTTTCTTGCTTGCTTGCTTGCTTGCTTTTATTTGAATTCCAGTTAGTTAACATACAATGTAATATCAGTTTCAGGGATTCAACACTTTCATTCATCACCCGGTGCTCATCACAAGTCCACTCCTTAATCCCTATCACCTATTTCACCCTTCCCCCAACCCACCTGCCTCCTGGTAACCAGCAGTTTCTTCTCTTCTCTATAGTTAAGAGTCTGTTTCTTGGCTTGCCTCTCTTTTTTCCCCTTTGCTCATTTGTTTCTTAAATTCCACATATGAGTGAAATCATATGGTATTTGTCTTTCTCTGACTGATTATTTCGCTTAGCGAAATAATCCATGTCCTTTATTATTTCATTATTTTTGTGGCTGAGTAATATTAATATTCCAGTGTGTCTGTGTGTGTGTGTATTCACCACATCTTTTTTATTCATCAATCAATGGACACTTGGGCTGTTTCCATAATTTGGCTACTGTAGATAATGCTGCTATAAACATCGGAGTGCATGTGTCCCCTTTGGATTGGTATTTTTGTATTCTTTGGGTAAATGCCTAGTTGTGCAATTGCTGGATCTTAGGGTAGTTCTGTTTTTAAATTCTGAGGAACCTCCATACTGTTCTCCACAGTAGCTTCCCCAGTTTGCATTCCCACCAACAGTGCACAAGGGGTCTCCTTTCTCCCCATCCTCGCCAACACCTGTTGTTGCTTGTGTTGTTGATTTTAAGATGCTTGGGTTCTCAATAGCGCTCCCCCTGCATTGCCTGGAATGTCACATACAGCATATGCTATGGGAAGGGTACATCAATATTATCCAGGTGGGATGAGGAAGAACATAGTAATTGCAGACTTATTTTTTTGTTGTAAAATTTTTACTCTTAGCAGGACTGACCGGTAGTAACACAAATCTTTCCAGGGCCAGGATAAGGCTTCTGCCCCGGTTGAGGAAAGCTTCATCAAAATGTTAAAGCACCTCCAGCAGACTCTCCTTACAAAGTATTTCAATAAATTAGCAGTCATTAAATTGCTGTGTAAGTTTTGGCAGTAATGTGCTGCAGTTTTCGTTGTAGAGGCTTTACATAGCTTTTGTTAAATCCTTGAATTTTGTTAAGTTTAAGTCTTTTAAAAATACTACTGGTTTTATTTCTTCCTTTGTAATATGTATGACCTTTATATCTTTTTCTTACCTTTTCACATGGGATAGGACCTCCAGGATAATATTGATGGAAGTGGTGCAAGTGAACATATATCCTTGTTCACTCTCTTGGGGGTAAAAAGTATTCAATATCCCACCAGCAAGTGTGGTATTTTCTTCAGGTCCTTCCTAGATACCTTTAACAAGAAGCACCCTGCTAGTCCTAGTTTGCGAAGAGGTTTTTGTTTTAAAATCATGATGGCTATTGGATTTTATAAGAGGCATTTTTTTTTTTTGCATTTATTGTTATGGTCATATAGTTTTTCTCCTTTTCCCCTTTGCTCGTTCTGTTAATGTGGCAAATAACATGAATTTATTTTCAAATGTTGAGGCTATCTTGCATTCCTGGAGTAAGACCACTTAATTATGATGTAGTTAGTGTTGCTGCTTTCAAGTTGCTGATATTTTGTGAAAGATTGTTGCATCGTGAGAGATGTTGGTCTCAAATTTTCTTGTAGTGTCTCTCCTCAAATTTTTGACAAGGTTATGTTGACTTCATAAAATGAGTTGGAAACAGTTTCTATTTTATGAAAAAGTTCATGTAAGGTTAGTATTATTTCTTTCTTAAATGTTTGATAGAATTCCCAAGGGAAACCATCTGGACTTGCAGTTTTCTTTGTAGGAAGACGTTTGATTAGCATTGCAACTTTAAAAATAGAGTTACTCAGATTTCTCTTTCTTTTTGTATCATTTTGTAAGATTTTTTTTGTTTGTTTTTTAGGAATCCACTTTTAATCTAACTTGTCAAGTTTGCAGGCATTAAGTTGTTCATTATATTCCTTTACTTGCCTTTTGTGTCTATAGAAGCTGCAGTGATATCCCCGCCTTCATTTGTGATATTGGTAATGTATGCTTTCTCTCCGTATTCTCTTGATCAGTCTGCAGCAAAAGTATCTCATGGCAGTGTTGTTGTTTTTCCAGGATGAGCCAGAAGTATGATCTTCCAGTATGAAGAGGTAGTACCCTCTTCTTTTTTCTTCTATTTCCCATTGCACATACACACACTTACAGGTAAGACAGACTGTACTTAGGAGATCCCTCATTTCCCAATGACAAGTTGTCATAATGGTTTTTTTTGACAATTAAGAATATATAAACTTTGGGGGATGTATACAAAAGAGAAAAATGTCTACTTACAGTTGTTAATTACTGTGATTATACATATATACTTTTTTAAAAAAAGATTTATATATTTATTTTAGAGAGAGAGAGAGAGTGTGTGAGCAGGGGGAGAAGTTGGGGGAGGAGTAGAGGGAGACGGAGGGAGAGTCTTAAGCAGACTCTGCCCTGAGTGCAGGGCCCAATGCAGGGCTCGATTCCACAACCCTGAGCTCATGTCCTGAGCCAAAACCAAGAGTCAGCCACTTAACCGACTGAGCCACCCAGGCGCCCCAAACATATATATTTCAAATCAAATGCTTTATTGAGTTTTTTATCATGTTAAAAATATATGGATCATAAAACTTACCATTTTGACCATTTTTAAGGATACAGGTCGGTGGTATTAAGGGCATTCACAATGTTGCATAACCATCAGTGTCATCCATTTCCAGAAGTTCTTTTTTTTATCCCAAACAAAAACTCTTGTGCCCATTAAACAGCTCCCTCTTTGCCTCCCTCCTTCCAGTCCCTGGTAACTTCTATTCTACTTTCTGTCTCTAGGCATTTGCCTGTTCTGGGTACCTCCTATAAGTAGGATCATGCACTATGCGTCCTTTTGTGTTTTGTTTATTTTACTTGGGATAATATATTCAAGGTTCATCCATATTGTAGCATGTATCATTCCTTTTTATGGTTGAATAATATCCTATTATACGTATGTACCACATTTTGTTTATCCATTCATCACTGATGGACACTTAGGTTGTTTCCATCTTTTGACGACTGTGAACATGCTGTAATGAATATTGGTGTGCAAGTCTCTGAGTCTCTGCTTTCAGTTCTGGTGAGTATCCACATAGGAATGGAATTGCTGGACCATATGATAATTCCAAGTTTAACTTTTTGAGGAACTGCCATACTGTTTTCCACAGTGGCTGCACCATTTTTACATTCCCACCAGTAATATAATGAAGGATCCAATTTCTCCAAAGCCTTGCAAACATTTGTTTTCCTTTTTAAAAAAAATAGTAGCCATCTTGGGCACCTGGGTGGCTCAGATGGTTAAGCGTCTGCCTTCGGCTCGGGTCATGATCCCAGGGTCCTGGAATCGAGTCCCGCATCGGGCTCCCTGCTAGGCGGGGAGCCTGCTTCTCCCTCTGCCTCTGCCTCTCTCTCTCTCTCTCATGAATAAATAAATAAAACATTAAAAAAAAATAGTAGCCATCTTAAGGGTTGTGAAATGCTATCTCATTGTGGCTTTGGTTTGCATTTCCCTAATGACAAATGATGTTGAGCAACTTTTTATGTGTTTATTGGCTAGTTATATATCTTCTTTAGAGAAATATTAATTTATTCTAGATATTAATCATTTATCAGATATATGATTTGCAAATATTTTTGTCTATTCATTGGGCTGTCTTTTTACTCCCTTGATAATATTCTTTGATGCGCAAGAGTTTTTAATTTTGATAAAGTACAATATATCTGTTTTTCCTTTGTAGCCTCTGCTTTTGGTGTCATATCCAAGAAATTACTGCCAAATCCAATGTCTTGAAGATTTTCTCCTATGTTTTCATCTAAGAGTTTTATAGTTACAGCTCTTAAGCTTAGGTCTTTGATCTATTTTGAGTTAGTTTCTGTGTATGGTATAAGGTAAGGGTCCAGCTTAATTCTTTTGTATGTGGATATCCAGTTTTCTCAGCAGCATTTTTTGAAAAGACAGCTCTTTCACCATTTAATGGTCTTGGCACTCTTGTTAAAACTCAATTGACCATATTTGCTTGGGTTTTTTTCCT